CTGGCCAGCAGCTGGAGTGTGGCTCTGGCTGGCCAGGCTCCAGTTTTGGGCAGGACACGCTGCTGCCACATGCACCACTCTGCTTTTTTTAGGCATGGCTTTTGTTCACCTCAGGATCTCCTGGAGTCAACCCCCTCCCTACGCTAAAAATTAGCAGCATGGGAACACATGTGCAACACTGCAGACAGGTCTGCGGTTCTGCATATTGCACATCCACGCTCATCTAGATATGCTCATTCTGTGTAAAACAGTGATTCAGAGTGAGACTGAGAGAGGCAGAGAAGGTACACTAAGAAAGGCAAAAGCAGAATGTGAATAGAAAATGAATCTGATGGTTAGGTATGCAGATTTATGAGTGATTGAATGGAAGGAATTCATCCCAGTCATGACCAATAGCAATCTGGGTACTATCTGGAAGATTTTTGACACAATAATCACTCCTAATATTCCTAGCAGTTTGGATCATTATTTGTATTACTGTACAGTGAGACACATTTTTTGTTTGTTTATATATCAAATGCAATATTGACCATAGGCTAAATCATACATTCATAGGTACTATGATGGTCTGTGTTGTATTGTCAGCGGTACTTCTCACTAACATGCAGTAGATTTTTGTGTGATGATTATACTCTCTAGTACAGTACTGCACTATTTTAATGTGTGATTAACATTTGTTACCACCTTCTATTGTTGTTCATAAGAGAACTAATATTTTCATCACAGATTCCTAGAAATTCTGAGTCTTATTTTTACCATGACTAAAAAACTCCATGAAAAAAAATCAGTGAAAACCATTGTTTTGTTCTTTTTGTTGCCATTTTACACCTGCTGTAAAAATGCTGGGTGGAAAAGGTTATCGGTTAAAGGCTATACTTAATACATTATCCATATCTATCATAGCACACCTGATAATGCTCATATAACTAAAGTATTTATTCCTCTGCCTCATTCATCTTTTAGTTAAAATTAGTCTTTAAAATTTTGGCTGCATATCTTAAATGTGGAGGTTGATTTTTCTACCCAGGATAGCAGCAGTGGCATTTCTATTCAGTTGGTACTGAGGGAGTCATTGAATTTATGACTCATTAGAATATGCTACATTTCTGCTAATTGCTTTCCACTCAAATTAATGACCCACTCTTCTTTTTTTTAATGGTCTTGATGTTCTACTAGTCAAGCTGTTCTTCTTCAGCAATATTGTTTCCACTACTCCTGGTCTATTTTTTCTCATTTCACAGTCCTGCAAACTATTTTTAGGTCTTTTTCAAAATCCTAGATCTTCCCATGGAGTCTAGTCTTCAGCAGCAGCTATGGTATCAGCTTTTGGCAGAACAGCCAAGAGCTAGTCACAATTCAACTTTGAAAGGGTTGAAACAGTAGCTTTTGTCTAAGCAGGTAAAAAAAAAATGTTTTTTCTAGAGTTATGGCTCCACACAGTAGGGGGCAGAACCTGAATTGTATGCAGCCATAACACTGGAAAAATCTTTTTTTCTTCATTCTGCCTTCCCAAAATTAAGATGTATGTTTTATTTTGGGGTATATGATATGCTAGAAAATATGGTCAGTCTCATGAGAAAGAATAACCCTTATGACTGTATCTTTATGGTATGAATAATATTCTGCAGAAAGGGTGCTACTGCTACTAGGGACTCAATCATCTTCTGGAGTAAGTCTTCTCTTTCAAAAAACAAGGAGGTCTTAAAACAGGGGAAAGAGGAGGCACTTCCCTTTTAGCCAGTAAATTTAGGCAATAGATTAATGGACCAAAAAAAGAAAGCATGTCTAGGGTATAGGGCATTCACGAGAACAATCTGTGTGTGAGAGAGAAATCTTGTATATAACCCCTAATGTTTCAACAAATATTTCAGTATTTTATGTTAAGTAACCATTGAAGCAGGGATGAAAACTCATATCTCTAACCTCCTTTGGTGAGTGTCACAAGTACTAAACTAGGGAGTCACTAGTTCACTATCTTCGCACCTCATTATGTTTTTTTTTTAAATTGATTAGAGCAGTGTCCTGAAGACTGATCCTCAAGCAAATGAAGAAACTGTATCCAGGTCTCCTAGAACCTGGATGAAATTTTCTTAACCTACCTATTTCTCCATCTCTACCTCCCACATCATGTGTTTTGATGAATCTGATCCATCAGTCTTGGTCTGAAAATGCCTGCTGGATGAGGTCTTGTAGGTGAGATAGGTTTGTGAAACCCATCAGGATTTTGGCATAAGTGTTTAGGCATTCAGCACTGTTGAGAGTAAGGCAGTTATCATCATGCTCAGAGATGCAGAAATGTTGGAAACTTGGATTTTCCTTCTCAAAAGGTTTAGAGAAGATGTATCATAAAGGGTCTTCAGTTTTAGTGTATCTAAAAGTAATTTAGCTAACCAAATTTTTTTTTCCAGTCTGCCCATACCAAGTTAAAGACAACTTGCTTCTTTGAATACACTTTTCTTGGAACATAGATAGGGTCCAACATTAGCCATCTAACTTTACATATGAGAAGTAAATTACTGTAATAAGGTTTGCTGTTGTTCCAGCAAGACAAGGGGCTTGACTTTCCAGTTCTAATGCACTTTGCACAATCCTGAAAACACATAAAAAATGAATGAAAAGTGGATGTGAAATATAATCAATATGATTTGATATCTATTTAGATGTGTTATGCCCTAATTTCCCACAGGTGGGAAAGACAGCACAAGATACAGGGAAATTGCACTGGAACCCTGGAACATGTGGAATAGGATAGGATGTTCCAGTGAGAAAGCATTTCAAGTGTATATGGTATAATTTCACATGGAGTTTCAGTCTCCCGTTTTTTATATACAGCAATATGTGCTTAATTCTGTTTGCAATAGCTGAAGATCACCTACAGAATGAAAGTATCTACTGAGTTTTTTTCTTACTTGGGGCTGATATTCCAATTTATGTAGCATTGCAATTTTTACTTCAAATCACAGGAAAAAATAGTGCCAATACTTGAACGGCAATCTTCAGTCATTATGTAGTAAGTACAAAACTAAAATTCTTGAGGCAGATGGATGCATTTGTTATTTCCACAGTTTCGTTTTGTCTTGATATAGAAATAGATTGCTATTATTTTTAGCAGTTATTAAAACAGCTTCTAACAGAGATGACTCTGTTTATTTCAAAGGGAGAAAAATGCGAAACCAGATCATCAGCTTGTATAAATTCATAGATTTTCATTGTATCCAAGGGAACCAGCCTGAATTATGGTCATGGAAGTTCTAGACCATCTCTAACTCTAAAATGCTAATCTCCAAGTAGATAAATGGTTTCTGCTTGTGGTCAAAGAGCACAAATGGAAGTGTCATGCTAATTAAGCCAAAAGAATTCATTTACAGACCATTAGATGAAAAAATTAACAAAACTTCTTACCTTCAGTGTTTATGTCATCAAAAGTCCATGAAATTAATGTCTCCTCAAAATACCAGCAAACTACAAGAGGAAAGAGGCTTGTTAAACATGAAGTTTTGTTATCCCACAATGAAAGATTTTAATACTTCAGATAATCTGCTGGTCCAAAAATACTTCATTTAGACTGAACAAGAGAAAATTTCTGGGAAGCAATATATAATTAGCTTGACCTCCTCACATGAGGTTAAATATAGCGTAACATTTAGTTTCTCAAGTATCTATCCATAACACTAGATCAAAACTACAAGATGTTCTTTTAAATATTTGTATTATCTAACAGGTACAATTATTACAGTTAGTCAATAACAGTATTATAACAATCATATATTAATTTGCTATGTTTGGTATGTTAAGTCATATTTTTAAAGTTTGGATTTGCTGCTCAGTCTTGAAGGTGTTGAGCACTAAGCATTGTGCCAGAATCAAAATTAGAAGAAAGTAGTATAACTAGGGGGATCTAATGGGGATGGGGTTGGGGGATTGTGACAAAAAAAAACAGCTTTTTCTGCAGCCACTCAATTGTGATTGTAGTGGCAGTGACAAACCAAAGTTGTCACTGCCCTGTGTGTGGCAGTCACCCCAAGTGCCCTGTACTGGGTTCTTATACTGCTATTGGAAGGGGGTTATTTTTCAGTTCTGGCTTTGAATCAACAGTAATTTTGTGAAATCAGCTCCTCCTCTGGGATTTCTGCCTGGTTTCAAAGCTCAGCAAAGCACTTCACTATGTTTATTTTCACCTATGTAATTCTTGTCTTTTTTTTTTT